CAGACAAAGTCCTGAACTACCAATAAGTTTACCAATGGACTATGAAGACCTGCTAATGACATGAAATACTATGTTACTCTTCCTCAGCCAAATGTGCCACAGTGGATGAAATGGAATAAACATAACATGAAGTCCCAAGCACCCCTGTTCATCCCCAAATTGTTTCCAGCAAATAGCTTGACTGAGTTAGCTCCACTAGGTCTGCTTACTTCAAAAGCAGAAATGCAAAAATGCCTAAGTACCAGACATTACAAATTTGTATTTTCCCATATGTATCCGGCAGATCCTAAGAGTGGAAAAGTGCAAAAAAGCCCACAAAAACAAACAAACAAACAAAAAAAACAAACAAAAAACATGCCCAGTAAAAGAAAGCAAGCCCTAGTCAAATAAGTTTTTTAATTCTACCAAAACCTGAGCATGACCTAAGTCATATTCGACCTTGCCAAGCTTCCAGACAGAAACACTTGGATGTCTTCAGAGTCCAGTCTAACACAGAAGAGACACCCATCACTACAGACAGCTGGAATAGAAGGGACATTTGTACATAACCCTGTGGTTAACAGAAAGCAGGCTGCAAATGCATATCACTTCAACCTTCTGCTTCCAGAAACAAGTATTTAGATATTTAGATGGGCAAATGCATAACTGATAAAAGAAATACGCAGTTAAGCCATATAGTTCATCACCACATAGCAAATCATTGGGCTAGAAGGCAATTTTGAATAGGAACAGTGGATTTATATGCGTCAAAGAATATTCAGTGTTCTCCCACTGAATATGAATGCTTTTGGAAACTTTCAAACACATAAAAATACCTTGTGATTCATGAGCTGGTGAAGCTTGAGCTACTGAGTCTTGGCAGAACCTGCTCTGAGGTGCCCAGGTGGACGGGAGGTTGTGGCCTCGCTCCCCGCCTGGGACACACTGTTGCTGGACATGAGCACCTGCATTAGATGGAAACCTGCTCAAATTCCTTATGGAATTCCCATTTCCTTGGAAAAGAAAGAATTAGACCTCAGCACTACAACTGTTGGGGCTAGCAATGTGATTTCTTGCAGTTTAAGGCAGTTTACTTTGTCCAGGAATTTTATGGAAGGAAAGAGAGAGACTGATACCAGGACAAGCTTGTAAAACACATTTTGCAGAACGAATCTGGGAGCCATTTGAGGTCTCAAATATTATCTTGAAGAGGGATGCATATGTGGTCAGATTTTTAAGGGTGTAAGTGAGATGCAATTTATGAATAGCTCAGCACTATACTCCGTGACTGTCCCTACTGTACATGTGGCAGCATGATGATGTGGATGCATACAAAATTACAGACATTGCAGGTCATGCCAAAAAGATAAAAACTAATTTTCCTTTCACCTTGATGTTTGAACTCTCTACAGGCAAAGAGAGCATATTTTGAGACTTGCATTCACTTCTTACATACACAGATTGACAACGAGCCAGTACTTTTTAGGATATTCTTACAAGAATAGGAAGAAAATACAAGAACTGAGACAATAAAACAAGAAAGAAAAGCTATACAGAATCGAGGAAGGCCACCAACCTTCTCAGAATGTGTGTGGGCATCCTCACAAACTGCCAGATGCCTTCAGTTTGTTTATTGTTCAGAATAGTTAAAACCACCAGTCCTTGGGAGCTGCTCAGGCCTTTCATATATTTGTTTAGCTTAGGAATAGTGACAAATAGATGGGCAATTTACATTTGGAAGAAGTGTGTTATGTTGTAGCAGAATAAAATACTTCATGCACTGTGATACTTGTCCCTGCATCACTGGATCGGACTTTTTTTTCGCAGCCTCTACTTGTACAGAAGCAATAAATTTCTATCATACAATTTTACAACACTGGGAAAAGCAAGCAACTATAATACAAAATATTTTCCTGTGGTCAGGGGCTGACAATGATTGGGGGCTATTCCACAATGCTTTCTCTGGGCAATCCCACGGCTCCTGTCTGGCTACAGCCTCTCTGATTTCTTGATCCTCTTCAGATGGAGTCTAATCTTGTATTACTGCAATTAATGGGGATAGGACCTGGCCTCTGAAAAGCCAGCTGTCCATTTGAGGAAAGGTTATGGGTCTGAGCTGTTTGTCTGCCCTCAAAATTATGCTTTTTATTATGTTTCTGACTTACTTTTCTTCACATAGGTGAACTGTTGAACTATGCTTGTACTGTTAAAAGTAGTGCTGTGTCAGATTATACCTTCTGGTTTTGGCTTGTTCTCCTTCTGCAACCTGTTATGTGCGCCTATGTTCACAAATAATATATCCACTCGTGCATATAGTTACACTCTTTGTGTGTGCATGGGCTTAATGCAAACACATAGAAATATAAAGTACAAATTAATTTGATCCCCACAGTATTTGTAACAATGCCAAATTCTTAGTATTTTATAGTGCATACTCCATTAAATAAATAATATCTAAATTGATCTATGCTACAATATGTGTATATATAATTTATGAGGCCTGTAAATAACATTTTAAAACCTGTTCACACATCAAAAAACAGATTGTTTATTTTTCTCCTAAAACAATCAAAGGGCTTAATTCTTCCTACTATGTAAACAGTGGTGACTGCCGCTTTCAAAGAAGCTTAACTTCATTAAAAAATAATAGTTTCTTACTGTAAAATCAATACTAATATGCCATAAATCCCCATGATGAACTCTGGCTTTCTTGTTTACTCTCACATTTTTTGTCTTAGGGGCACAGCACTACTCTACATATCAGAAGATAATAATATGGCAATATATATAGATATAGATATATATTTAAATGTTAAAACATGAGTTAGGTCAACTTGAGTAATGAATGTACTTCACATATGTGCTTCATTCTGTAACTAAAGGCCTTAAATTTTCTTTGCAACATAAGAGAAGACTCTGTGGGTACCTTACAAGTCTTTGGTTGTATGTGGCTACCAAACCTGTAAGCCAATTCTGGGTTTCTTTGGCTCAAAATGTACTTCTGGCAAATAGATCAAGCTGTAACTTATTTTCTTGTTTTATACTAAACTCATACTTGCACTACACTTGCAATATCATTTGCAAGCTTACTTTTAGGTAGGCATTTTAAACAACTCATACAAAAGAAAGATTTGTATGTCAAGAGTATTTGTTTTAGTGACACGAAAGCTAGGTATACTATATTCACTTCTCAAGCAGACCTTCATGAATCACTTTAAAAGGACACTACGGCTGAAGACTGAAGAGCAATATTCATCAACATTAAATAAAACATTTGGTGAAGTATGTATAAATATTTCTTCATATGAACATAACACAAAATTAAATAGTTCAGATACACAGACACCATTTAATATATTTCCACTGTTGTCAAAATCATCTGTAAACACCATCTCACACTGAATACAAAAGCAGCTTTTACATCAGTTCTGTGTTCACAACACTGATGCCCCTTTGTAAAAGAAAATTTTTGTTTTGTTTTATTTTCAGCAAAATAAGAGCTTAAGCAGTAATAATAAAAAAAAAAGTTTTGGTCAGTTCAAAGGAGAATACAAAATTATCCTTCAACATGTAAGTAAATCAGATTTAGAACAATACTTTAAAGTACAATCTTTTCCCCAGGGGATCTCTGACTTTTATAAAATCACACTATGTTTGGTGCAGACCACATCACAAATACCAGGAAAGGCTGGTCATGTCTAAGCTATAAATAGCAAAGACCTTTATATATATATATATATTTTTTACATTATAAAAAATTGCCAGGTTAGAAATTGGTAATATCCACATTTTTCGAAGTGCTGAATAATTTGGAATTAAACAGATGTGGATGCTTTTTTGCTGGTTATTTTTAGAACAGATTCTGGAAAAAAAAATCTTCAGGACTTCCCAGTGAGCACCCTTCACCTGCAGAGCAGGGATGGGTTTTCTCTGCATGGATCTTTTGCATCGGGAGATCACCCAGGCAGACACGCCTGGGGTATCCCCCAAGTCTGCCCATGGAAAACCACAAGATGACCTTCAATCTGCCAGCCCCGTGCGCCACTGCTAAGCACAGGCTTGGGCTCTTGCCAGCCCACGGTGACACCGACGCCATGCCCCAAGCGTGGAGTTTGGCTCCTGCAGCTCTTTTGAAGGGGCACCATCACTTTGGGGACAGATGCTCTGCTCACGCTAAGGTTTTAGTGGCCGCGTGCCCCATTTTAACGCTCTGCAGACTGTTGGGTTTATGGGCTGTGTTTTGGTTAGCTCCATTTAAAATCTGTGCACACTCTTTTAGTTTCAAAGATAAATTCCAATTTGAGGCAGCAAGGAAGGAGAAATATATTAAGAAAACAATTCTCTGAGTTTTACTCTTTTTTTTTTCATTGCATTCACATGCAACTGTGATAGGTGGCCCTGTAAAAAAAACACCTAGACCAATAGTTCACCTCTTTCCTGGTATGTGTGTATTGCAGAGATGTGAATGTATGTTATGCATACATACACACTCACACATACACTTATATATAACATGAGCTGCACACATAAATACTCTGTAATCAGGAGTCAGGGATACAGTTAACAATACACCGAAAGAGTAGTAGACAGGAAGCTCTACTTGGATAACAACAAGCAATTCTGCAACCTATACAGTGTCTCAAATAATTTCATAATCCTGTTTTGCTAGCTTGCTACATCCATACATGACTTGAATTGAAAGTTGTTGGATTCCTTGGAAACAGAAGAGTTGGGCTAGCTAGATGTGCTTACCTGAGATCCCAGAGTTGATTACAATCAAAGAGCTGGGCAGATCAGTAATGGGTTTATAATTGCTATACAGCTTCTTGCAATTTTGTAGGAAAACTTTATTAAGTCTTTCATTCCTTAGTAAAAACGTTGAAGTTTGCTAGTTTTTGATGAATGCGAATTTGATTTTTATATTAAACTGGATTTATTAAAAGGATACATAAGCCTGACAGCTGCTTTCACGTCTTGATGTTTAAATGTTTGAATCAGCACCCTGGAACCACCCTCCCTCCCTATCCCATCCCATCTCATCCCATCCCATTGCATCCCATTCTGTCCCGTCCCATCCTCCCCCGTTATTGTTTTATTTGTTTAAAAAACACTACTCTAGGAAGCCTCCCTCGGGATCCGCTTATGAAAAAGGACAGACTGCCTTTGCTGATACTGCTGTTTGCGTCGTTTCCGTTTGTCACACTGGCACAGCAGTAACATCTTGAAAGTGGTTCTGAAAGTTTTGTTACACAGTGCATAGCAAACGGGGTTCACCGTGCTATTGATGTAGCAAAGCCAGTACCCCAGGTCCCAGACAGGTTTGGGGATACAGCTTTTGCAAAAGGTGTTCACCAGAACCATGATGTTATAGGGGGTCCAGGTAACGATGAAGGCCAACAAAATGGCACTGAGCGTTTGTGCCGCTTTCTTTTCTTTGATAAGTGACATCCGTTTTCGCTTGGTGATCTGACTTCTGGTCTTCACGGCAAACTTTTTTGCCAGGGTTGCTTCCTTGAAGGACAAAGGCAAGGCTGAAGATGTCTTGGCCACTGGTGAAATGCCGTCAGATGCTGTGGCCGATTCTACTGCTGACCCTGGCTGAATAGGAAGCTTTGAAAAGCTCTTTTGGAAACTTCCACCATCCTGAAAACTTTTTGGAGGGTGCATTTTTTTAACTTTCATTTCCTTGGAATCTGTGTCAGATTTCTGCAGTTCATCCCCTGAATCATGCAAATCTTCTGAAGAAGGTAGTTTTGTGGAGTTGAGGATGGCGCTGTGACCAGGTAGCTTCAGCACGATCGAATAGATGGCTCTGGTCTCTGCAGCAATGTCTTCTTCGTCGGAGGAGGCTGAATTCTCCAGAGAGGCGGCAGCATCGTTGTTGTTCCAGCTGTCACTGCTGCTGTGCTCTTGGTCTCCCTGGTCTGTGTTGGGTTCCCAGCTCTTCATGGTGAGCCAGAAGTGGCAGCGTCTGTATTTCCTCCGCGAGGAGCGCTTCATGCTCTGCCGCTGCAGCTCGTAGCTGCTGCAGCTGCGGGAGCTGCCGGTCTGGTGCACGAAGCGCGCCGCCTCCGCCTCGCTGCCTGAAGCCTGGAGCCCTGCTAACTCTTTGGTGCGTTTCTCCGTCTCCTTGTAGATCCTCCAATACAAAATACTCATAATGGTGACTGGCAAGTAAAAGGCAGCTATGGCAGTGCCAAAAGTGATGATAGGTTCACTTAGAAACTGGATGAAACATTCACCAGGAGGGACAGTCCTCTCCCCAACAAAATACTGCCAAAACAGTATGGCAGGGGCCCAAAGAACGAAAGAGATGACCCACGCTAAACCAATCATAATTCCAGCCCTTTTGGTTGTTCGTTTGGCTCTATACGTAAGCGGCCTAGTGATGGAAAAATACCTGTCAAAACTTATAACGAGGAGATTCATGACGGAGGCATTACTGGCGACATAGTCAAGGGCGAGCCAAAGATCACAGGCCAAGCTTCCCAAAGCCCAGTGGCCCATGATGATGTACGAGGTGTAGAGATTCATGGAAATTACTCCAATGATCAAATCTGCACAAGCAAGACTTAGCAAGAAGTAGTTGTTGACTGTTTTCAGTTGTTTGTTAACCTTAAACGCAACAATTACTAGGATGTTTCCTATGATGGTCACCAGTGCAAGGGTCCCAGTGAGAAAAGCAATCAAAACCACTTGCCAGACACTGTGCCCACCCAGAGGGTCTTTGCTTGTGGCATTTAGGGACGTATTTGCTGATCTCACAGTGGAGAAGGGAAAACTCTCTGTTGTCTGAGGGAAATCATAGCTGCCAATGAGCGATGCTGCTTCGTCAAGTAGTCCTGGTCCATGGGAATCTCTCTTCCATAAGGAGCTCACATTTGCAAACAGAGGAGAGTTTGAACTGTTATTGTGCACGATCATTGTGGCTCTCTGACATAGTCTGCAGTGGGCGAAAATAGAACAAAAGAGAAAAACACCCAAGTGAACAAGTGATAGCAGTAAAAGATTTTTTTTTTCCAAATTATTATATGCATAAAATCTCCCAAGCACTTTGAAAGTTATCTTTACAAGCAAAGCTGTCTGTGACACTCTAATACATAACATAGGTCTAATATACAATAATAGCTCTAACAAACATGTGGCAGTCTTCAACGTAGAGCTGTGATTACATGTGACTCTTTGTAGTATTTGTATACTGTTTCCTTCAAAACATCCACTTGCAGGATACCAAAATCCCAAGAGAATTTGAATCCTCAATAGCACTAAAATGTCCCCATAACTCTATAAAGGATTGGCCCTGAACCTTACACCTTAACAACCTGCTCTCTGGGAACCTTCAAAGATCAAATGAGATGTGCAGCTCCCGGCCTCCCAGGTCACAGTCAGTTCTGGACACTAGTGCTCCCGTGACACTCGCAAAACACAGCCCCAGCCTCAGCCACCTGCAGCTACCGCTAATGATAAACCCCAATATTGTCCCATCTTTCATTACTTAAAGTGTAGCTATACAAAGTCTGCTTTCAGTGTTTGTCAGAAGCTACCATATCCCCTGTGACTGTTTCACTTTCATTGATATTTTGGCTCTCTGATAAGGATACTGGAAGTTCTCAGTCATACTTTTTACACATGGCACTATTCAGGCTTTTTTTTTTTTTAATTGGGACTAAAGATTTTGTATGTCTAATGACTTCAAAATATCTTTGGGGCAACACATGTTAAAATTTCCTTTGAAAGTATGGTCTCCAGAGTCAGTAAAAAATGTTTGGCACATGTCAGAGAAATCATTAAACACTTTAGGAAAAGAGGAAAATAACATGAAAGGGATTCATAATTAAACCTTAAACCTTTTCCCATAAGTACTTACATAAAATCAAGTCATACTCAGAATAAGAATTTGCATTTCCCATTATTTCATTAACTTCTGTGGGCTACTCAATAGATACATTTTTATCAATCACTTTTTTTCATCAAGTAGCAAGAACTCTGATGAAAAAGTTTTCAGCTGATTTTAGATCATAGAATCACAGAATCACAGAATGCTTAAGGTTGGAAGGGACCTCTAGAGATCATCTAGTCCAACCCCCCTGCACACGCAGGGTCACCTAGAGCACGTGGCACAGGACTGCGTCCAAGCAGGTTTTGAAGATCTCCAGAGAAGGAGACTCCACAACGTCTCTGGGCAGCCTGTTCCAGTGCTCTGTCACCCTCACTGTTAAGAAATTTTTCCTTAAGTTCCTAAGATGTTCTACAACCTATGCTGTGAAACTCAAATGTTTCTGTTGTAATTCTGAATCAGCCCAGATTCAATTTATTATGACTTAATGACCTAATATATCAAAATGGACTGATGTTATACCATATTTAAAAAGAAGAGGAGTTTCTGGTTTAAGGTCTTAATTAATTTCTACATTCTGTCTTCCTTTGGACTGTGCTTGTACTTTTGCTAGCAAGCCATAAAGGACCAAGTGATTTTAAATGCTAAAGCTCCTTTCATACATACCATAAAACATATATACCATAAATCATATATACCAATATTTAGTTCATTTACCTCATGCACAATAATTACCATAGAAAGCATCTTTGGGGATTTAAAGAAAATTAAATATTAAGCTGCCTCTTTTATTAAAAGGTTACAGGGAGGTTGCCTTATCCTAATACAATTTAACTCATTTATAATGCATTTATCCTTTTATCACACAAGATGCAAACATAATAATAAGAGTAAACATTGCTCTGTGATATCGTACATTTTAAATTTTACTGTTTTCCTGACGAGAGTGATTGTAAATTTGGAGCAATTTCAGGTATGTTGAATCTAAAATTATATTTTAGATTATACTTTATCGAAGATTTGACATTTCAATTTCTGTTTTCTTTGAAAAGTGGACATGAGGGAAATATTCCTGAATATTCACATTAAAAGACTTTACAGGCATTGGGAACATTTAATTGTCAAGCTGCTCTTCTAAAATATAATGTTCATTATTTTATACCATTTTAACTGTTCCTTTACTATCAGCAGTACTGACACATAAAGCCATACATATGATAACAGAAGATGGCTTTATTTTTTTTTCTAGGAATAGTTTTCCAGATAACACAAAGATTTTGAAAACAGCTGCTGCTTTAATTGATACAATAAATGCTTATCTTATTTTCTAGATCAAACTGCCAGGCTGCTTTAATAGAGAACAAACAGTAGATACTTTGATCTAGGAAAGGAGATGAAATGTTTAAGCTGCACCTAATAGTTTGCAAACAAAAATAATTTAATCTGTTTTCACCATTATGAAATGAGAACTAATATCAGGATATGACTTATCACATGAGATATTATTATGATACACTATTGTTTCATTAATCTTACTAATACTTTGTTGATAAAAAATGAAATGAATATATAAAATAATTTCAGATAATTTCATATTTTTCAAACTTTTTTTACTTTGAAATACTGTGGAGTTATTTTATCAAAATCTGTACACTATCATAAAAATAAACTAAAATTTAAAATTTCATTTTCTCATGGAAAAAAGTCACTAGTATCAGAAAAGTGAAGCAATTCAGAGAGAGCTGTGAGGAATGTAAGTAATATGAAATAATTGTCTTTAAGTAGTTCCATAAAATGGAAACTCTGCAGAGAAGCAGAAAAGCAAATACACAACAGAAATAGCAGAAGGTAACTTATAATTATGTGTTTTAAAGAATTGGTTTTAATCTAGTATTTAAAATAAATGCACAATACTGTAATTAGGCACAAACCATACACTGATACGACATCACACTATAACTATAATATTATTATATTGTAAAAATGACTTAAACCTTCGAAAAAACATAGAAGCTAAAGAGAATTCCCCAATTTTTCCCATGCCTAGATACAGATAAAGCTTCTAAACATTCTAAACATATGACTATCAAGATATGTGTTTCTCTGTTTCTAGGGTATCACGCATTTCTTCTGCCTGATGGATTCAGACTTCATGGGAAATTTCATTAGAGAATATAAAACAGAGTAACTACTCGTACCAGTTTTACGTCATAGATATAAGAAGTAAGAATAAAGACCTTTCAACATACTGAAGACTAGCCCTGAATTTGTACCTAACACATAATAATGCATAATTTGTAGCTAATATATAATTCATGTATTAGCCTTCCAAGGGATTTAGGGCATATGGAGGAAATGGTGGGTAGAAGAAGGGTCCACGGTACTTTCTCATAACAGTGTGAGTGATGAAACATGACAAGGGGAAGGAAAACAAGCAAATCTTTTGCTGAAAAACCTCGAAAGGAAGCCACTGGTGTGGGGCATTTCTCTGTATAAATTAAAATATAATGCCAGCAAATGCATTCATTTACTGTATACTAAAGAGCCATAGCATTTTACATTTATGTATACACTTGTCCATCAGTACTTTTGAAACCTTTGGCTTAATGTCCGAAGAATTTTTTTTTCTCTATAGAAATCCATGAGAACGATGCTGTTTTACAACTGCAGAAGATTTGGTATCTGCATGTGGAAGCATGTGGAGCTGCCAAAATGCAGTTGCTGCTGGAATGAGTAAAGCATAGCACCATGCAGGGTGATGCTGACCAAATACCAAATATTCCCCTCCTAAGAACTGCCCCTATTGATTTTAAAGATAGGGCAGAGCAAAGCCATCAGTCTTAAAGTCAGCCCATGAAGGTTTCTTTTACACAGTGCACAGAGCAATCTGTTTATTCTTGATGAATAAAGCTTAGTTCATTCTTTTATGAACAAACCTAAATTGGTAAATGCTTCGTTTCATGAAGATGGTTCCATAAAAGGAAACACACTGAGGTCTATTCCACAAAAGGGCTATAAACAAGTAAAGAAGAACCTGCAATTAGACAACAGATTTCTAAAGGAAAGACCAGCATTTTGCCATATTCCAAAGACTATCTGTAGGCAAAGTTTTGAAGAAAAGATGAAGAGAAGAGCATGAATGGATAAAACGTAAGCTACAGTGTTTAACGTGTTCTCTGAGTCTCTTTCATCTAAACTGTTATGTGATATCTACATGGTCACCTTTTTTTCTTTTATTTCAATCAAAAATCTACAGACTTTTCAAAATGCTTCTCTCAAGAAAATCTACATGGATTTTTCTGAAAAAATTTCTCTGTACTTGCCCTCCATTAGAGGAGCTGTGGGACACCACGTATTTTTTCCTTTGTTTCCTCTGGCTATACCACTTCCAATCACAAAGCTCGTTTAGTTCAGGTCACCAAACATGCACAACACATCTCCATGGATCTGACTCACACTGCTTCAAAGAAGCTGCAGAAGTGCAGAAACTTGCACAGTGTTCATCCCACCTACCCTGTTGAGATGAAAGTCTGCAGAAAGGCATTTGCAGAAAGGCAGGCAGAGGGCCTGGATGGGAACCACTCTTGCTTTTCATTCACACCTCTTCACACATACTCATACCAACGCTACTCTTATGCCTTGCCCGAAAAGAACATTTAATTAGACATGGTGCATCTATACAAATGGAGAACCCACATACTCAAAATTCATCACCACAAATGCTCACAGATATTTTCATAAAGGCACATGGGATGTGCCTACTGTACAACAGCATTCTCCTCTAAAGGAAATGGTGAAACACTACCTAGTGTGTGCATGAAACAAGAATACTGTTCAGCTGTGAGCGATTGCTCATGAGCAGTCACTTAACCACCGCAGCAAGTGTTGAAACGGCTCCTGCCAATTGCTTGTGGGTCAGGGTGGCTAGCCACGGCGAAATGGAAATCCTTGCATCAAACAGCATCGATGGAAAACATCCTTTTTGTAGTGTTATATTTAGGAAGCAGAGCCATCTTTTCTAGAGCTCGCAGATGAGGTCAGGATAGTACACGAGAGATCTGAAATGGCCACGTAACTGTATGCTAGACATGATTAGTGTTGTTGGGTGCA